TACATCAGGTGTACATCTTTTGGGTTGGGGGGCTGCTCTAATTCATGGCACTTTATGTAAAAGTGTCAGCACCTTCTATGGGGTGTGGCTGAAGCCTTCCTATCAATACTGAATTCAATTAAAAATGCTGTTGCTGCTGGTGGGCACTTTCTGTGCAATAGTCTAGTGATTAGGTTAGAATATACACCCAGGAATTGGGATGTCTGGGTAGTGTGCCTTCCTGAGCCTCACAGGAGAGTGCCTTGACCACAAGGCAATAAGATGAAGTAAATAAGATTACCCTCTACCCCTCCATCTTAATTTGGGCTGCCAAGCAGCCAACACTGCAAGAGTCATAGGGCCAGAAGAAATGTGTAAAAGAGAGAGCCCAGCTTTGCAGCTCAGAGAATAAGACATTCTTGTAAGAGAAGGGAAACCTGGGCTCTTGTGTCCCATGTCAGGACTCTTTATCTGGTTTAATTAGATAGTTGTTACTTTTAAAAACGGGAATAAACCTGGGAATAATGACAATAACCCAGGCCTCCTGGGAGAGAGTTCTGATCTGTAAACTATTGTGGAAAATGCCAGCATCACCAAAACTACCATCTATGGTATGAATTGTGACCAGGAGTTCTGGATCTCAAGGCAACAGGGGCACCTAAAGTACAGCTTAAGTCACGTGCATAAACTCCTAGGAGGTGTGAGTTTTCTGAATTTCCCTTTGGAGGTACCTACTTACTGATATAGATAAGTTAGAGCTAGTCAAATTGAATTGTAGTGAGGCACCTAAATTTTGTGCTTCCAGTGGCTAAAGTGTAGGCCCCTAAAGAAACAATTTGGATATGACCTTATTCTTCCTTTTGTCTAGGTCACTTCACCCAGCTAGCTTCCTCCACCCATTTAATTAACTCAAATTATTTTAGCATTTGCCTTTTGCATATCTTAGCCATTACGCATTATTGTTGAAGAATTGTAGCTCAGCTGTTTATAAACACAAAAAACTACATTAAAAGAACATTATTAAAATTGCAAAGTCAAGTACTCAGAAGTTAAGAAATGCCAAAATTAAGACTGCCTGTGCAACATTAATTCAACTGCCTTAAACATATGCATTACAATGCTTTCTTTAATTAGATAATTGCATCCTATTTTTACAAGACTCCTGTCTCATTCAACACACAAGCTGAAGCCTTTAAAGTTAAATGAGGCTGTGCTCAGGGCCCCTGTCTCATTTAGTTGGTGAGTAGTAATTGAGGCAGGGAATTGCAGGAAAAGAAATGTTGAATGTTCCTGTTCCTAGAGAATTAGATTATATCTCCTGTCTTTGAATAAGGATAGTCAGCAAATCATTTCAGTCTTTCACAACTTGTCACTAATGGCATCTTTCTCATTTTCTGGGTACCTAACTTGAGATACTGGAATTGGATTTGCAGAAGTGCTGAACACTCATGGAAGCTCAATTGGAACTGTGCTTTGAATATATGAACAACGCTGAGTATTCTGAAAGATTAGGTCCTTGGTCTCCCACATTGGGCACCCAGAATCAGTGGATACTTTTGATCTTAATCCGTCTTTGCTTACAGTCTGTCTACTCTGCAGTCTGCAACATGTTGAGATACCTAAATAGGGGTGTGTAAAGCAGGTCCTATTCAATTCAGATTCAGATGTGGCCTGAATCAGGGACAGTGATTCAATTAATTGATTCAGATCCCTGTCCCTGATTTGATTTGCCCGAATCTGAACCTGAAGATTCAGTGCTGATTCGGAGAATCAGTGATTCGGACATAGACACAGCTTTAAAAGTTTTTTCTACATACTTCGAGGTACCAGTGCGGCTTGTGAACACTGCAATGTTGGGGCAGATGAAGCATCCCACAGGAGTGCAGAGGCCCCAGCATGCTTGGTGGCAAACCCAGAAGTGGACCAGAAGTACTTCTGATCCACTTCTGGGTCTGCTGCTGAGTGCACTGGGGAGCCCCCTGCACCTGTCTGGGACACTCCATGAGACCCAGCATCACAGCACTCATGAGCCGCCTACTACCTTGAGGTATGTAGAAAAAACATTTAAAGCTGTGTCTATGTCCAAATCTCTGAATCTTTCCGAATCTCTCCAAATCCATTCAGTGGGTTCTGATTTGATTTGGAGAGATTAAGGGGTCCTCTGATTTGATTCAGTTTTGGAGATTCGGCCACTGAATCGAGCTGAATCTCTGCCAGATCAAATCAGGGACTGAAGCTTCACACGGCCCTACTAAGCAAGCTTTAAATGAGCTAGTTCAGGTACTGGAAACAGTCTTTCTGCAAAAGCAGCATGGAGTGCCACATTTTCTAAGAAGCTGTAGTCAGACAACCTCCACTAGCCAATGTAACTCTTTGCTTGGGTACCGCTACACTCTGCAGTGTGCAGTGCGGACATATCATTATTTCTCAGGAGCTGAAATGGGGACAATACCACACTCTCATCTCACAGATCCTGTGAAGATAAATTCATGTGTGTGAAACACTCACACAACAATGAGGAGTATCACCAAAAGCCTATGAAGAAATTTCAGAATTGTTAGAAGATGAGAAATAAACCTCCTGCCCCATGAAAATTTAATATTTAGATCTTGACTGAAAGGCAGGATCTTGAAAATTGGAAAGTAATTTAGATCAATCACTTGAGAAATGTAATTTGGGTAAACTTCACAAATATTTTGTTTCAATCCCAACTTGTCTTTTCTAGTCGAAATCAGTGAAGACCTTCAAGCAGATTTGTTTCAAAGAGAAAAACATGGTTTTTCATTTTTAAATATTGAAACAAAAGATTTCAATAATTTCAAGGCTTCTTCCGATTTACTTTTCAGATTTGCTAAATAATCAAACTTTTCCTTGAATATTTTTGGTTTAAATGAATAACTATTTTCTGAGGGGGAAAAATGTCATCAGAAAACTTCCAACCAGCTCCAATAATTTTGTACTCAGAGGCAAGGCAGGAGCTACCCATTACATACTGGGTTCATCTACAAGTGCCCTACAATGCCGTTGTTACTGCATCGTCATTTAGTACTTCCTTTTGAAAGTACTAAATGATGGCGCAGTAACAGCCCATGCTGCACCATCCACATAGCGCATAGTTATTTTTAGCCACTACATTGCCATAGCAATGCACTATACCAAGGGAGTGTGTTGCTATGGCTAAGTAGCTGCGGTGTCAGTTTTTGTCCGCCAACACAATGCCCCTATTGCATATTGCTACGGTGACCTGGCATCATGTGTAGATGCGCCCACTGAGAAGAAAACAAAATGTCGTAGTAAGTCACCACTGTCCATCCTATCCACTGAGTGAGTCAAGGCTTCCGTAGGAAAAGAAAGTATGCAACATTCATAATTCAGACATACGTGGGAACCATATTAAGGTTATGTAGATAGCCTTAATTTTTGTATTTCCTAACTTTTGAGTTTTGAAATTGCAATCTTACTGTTATTTTAATGTAAGTTTTCAGTGTATCATTTCCCAGGTTGGGTTACTTTTTCTGTTTTTTTGGCTTTTTGGCATGTGTATTTGTGCATGTATGCATATGCATACACATGCACATACCCCATCATGTCCTATTGTAACCTATATGAACTGGCAAGCCTTGCCTGCCAAAACCTAAAGGCCCTCCCTGTTGTTGGGGTGGGCCAGGGATCAGGTTTACAGTGTTTACAGTCCTGAGGTACAAGGGGAGTGAGGTTTTTGGCTTCCCCTCAAAGGCTAAAAGACCTTGATGTCAGGAAAGGGCTACCAATGGAGGGCTGCAATAGATTCTTTAGGACAATGGAAAAAGAACAGGGACTTTGTATTGGCAGTCACATGTTTCATCAGGTGGGTCACAATTTTTATATCTACTTCACAGACCTCTGTGATTTCAGCTAATATTGTAACCAGTAACCATGAGAAGTTTTTATCCTCTGCCTTGACTGGCACTAGAAACAGATTAGACATTTGTCAGTGGGTTTCATAGCCATTTGCTGGCAGCAGAGGAATGGTGGGTCTCAGAAATTGCAGGCACCATTCCAGACTCTGGAAAGGAGTGTGCTCATGTGGGCATAGAGTTCTGTTTTCAGAGTGCTCTGTATATAAAGTGAGATGCAACAAAAACAATTCCATTCATGCCAAAAATCAAAATAAGAAAAAAAGTCAAGGAGCATCTGAGTTCCCACTTCAGCATTACTGGGACTCAGCATTACTGATTAGCCTTTCCTGGAAAAGTCAATGGAAAGAAAGACTTAGTAAGATCCTCCGCAGTTCCAGAAAATCATTCCACAGAAGTGAGGTGGAGGGGAAGTGTGTCTCACCCTAAAGAACACACAAGGGATGTCCCCCAACAGCTCAGTAGAAGCCAATTCCACCTACAGGGCTTCCACATGACTCCATGTTGGTACCACGTGGCCATGGTGTACTCTCCACTGACAGCTGTTCCTAAAGGGACATGAAAAGCACAGTATGGGGCAATGAAGAAATTCATACAAATTCAGTCTATAAGCATTTTTCAGCAGATTCCCTTCAGGCTTGGATGAAGAAATTAACAATTTATATTGCTGATACTGGCCTCCCCACAAATCTCCAGCTCTTTAGCAGCTCTCTTTTGGGTTATTTTTGCATGGGATGGGTTCACATGCAGAGGGTCCTTACTACACAGGGATTTAGGGAGCCTTGTCTAGTCCTATTATGACATTGCCTGACTTATGCACAATAAATTTAATTGGATTTGACATTAATTTCTCTAGAGCACTTGTGTGACAGGTGAGACCTCCTGCCTGACACTTGCACCATGTTACAAGTGGTCTGAATGGAGTTGACCTACAGCTGCCTGCAGGTTGAAAGCAGATCTGATTAAATATAAAATCTGTTTAAGCAAAAAAGGTCACTGTGAATGATACCCTCTATGCAGATGAATTTATTAAAATATATTGACTAGCTAGAGACTGAAGAATAAACTGAAAAATCAAATGAACTGTAGCAGTTCTACTAATACAAGCATACATTTTTATTTCAGGACAGACTGAAAGTCTGATGAGTCAGCCATGAAAATACCCCAGATGGATGTTATCCAGCAAAAACTCTGTTATCCTTTCTGCACAATAAATTGGAGACTAAAACTTGGATGTGGTTAGTTTTCTCTTGAAGGATGAAAGAATAAAAAAACCCAAAAAACCTAGGTAACAGACTTCAGTGCCAAGAATCTCTGCATAAAATTGAGTATTTTCTTTTCAGTAAGACAAAGACCTAAATATTATTTTTAAATAGGAAAAGGCCAGACACTGTTTTCCTTCACTAATAACTTTGGGCTGTACATAGATCCCTAGGGCAGGCCCAATTTAAAATAAAAAATAGAACAACATACAAGTCATTAGTTCACAGTTAACACTCATATAAATAATATAGGATGCCTATATATGTGCAGAGAGGCTGCTCTGAAGTGCTATAATTACAATGCGTTGGAGCAGACTCAATTAATCGATTAATTGAATCTGCTGGAGTGTGGTAATTATTAGGGCTGTGCGAAGCTTTGGTCCCTGATTCGATTCGGCAGAGATTCAGCCCAATTCAGTGGCCAGATCTCTGAATCCAAATCAAATCAAAGGACCCTTTAATCTCTCCAAATCGAATTGGAACCCTCTGAATCGATTCAGAAAGATTTGATGATTCAAACATAGACACAGCTTTAAATATTTTTTTTTTACATACCTCTAGGTACCAGGTGGTTCATGAATGTTGTGATCCTGGGGCAGATGGAGTGTCCCACAGAAGTGTGGGGAGCTCCCCAGCATGCTCAGCAGCAGACCCAGAAGTGGACCAGAAGCACTTCTGGTGCACTTCCAGGTCCACTGGGGAGCATACTGGGCCCCCCCCCCCCCCCATGCCTCCTGGCTCAGTGACTGGTGCCTCCTGGGTTGGGGGGGCCCGGGGCCCCCCACAGCCAATGGCCAAGCCAGGGAGGTGCGGGGTTCCCCCCAGTGCACTCCTCAGCAGACCCAGAAGTGGACTGGAAGTACTTCCGGTCCACTTCTGGGTTAGCCACCAAGCACATGGAGGACCCCCCCCCCCATGTGCCCCAGCATCGCAGCGTTCACTAGCTGCCTGGTACTACAAGATACGTAGGAAAAACATTTAAAACTATGTCTATGTCCAAATCACTGATTCTCTGAATCAACATCAAATCTTCAGGTTCACATTTAGCTGAATCAAATCAGGGACAGTGATCCAAATCAGTGAATTGAATCGCTGTCCTTGATTTGGGCTGTATCCAAATCCGAATCAAATAGAGCCCATTTTGCACACCCCTAGTAAATATCACGCTCCAACAGACTTCAGCATCTTGTGTATCAGTGTCCCCACACTGAAAAATGGTGGCGGGGGGCTTTAATGACTATCTTTAATTAAAGTACCCCCACTGCCATTTTTCAGCATGATGATATTGATACACGTGAAGCACTGGGCACTTTAATTAGAGCAGCTCTTGGATCTGCTCTAATTAAAGCACCCCCTCATCCCCCACCCCCCACAATTCCTAGAGTATGTCTATAAATGCCCATAGTGTTGCTGCTGTATGCACCTTTCAACACTAGATATCAAAGGACTCCAAAATTTGGTTAAGCAACTTTACAGATAGAAAAACAGAAACACCAGGAAGGAAAGAGATCTGCTCAGGTCATACAATAAGCGACTGGCAGACCTACAAATGAACATGCTTCCTGGTCCCTAGTTGTGCTCCATTTGCTGGTCCCAGCTGTCTTGCCATCATAAAGGAAACCTGACAGAGACTCACAAACAAGCTTAGAACCATTAAGTACCAGTAAGTAAATTCTGTGATTCTTGCAATTAAACCCTAAAGGCAGGTACCTTAGCAGCATGATTTAGTTACAAACACCAAACTCAGCAAGACTTTCCAAAACATTTCACCAGCATTCACAATCTTCCTCATGAGCCTGAGCTGTGGCTTGAGTAAATCAGGACTGCACGTATTTATACTTTCTGGCAGACACCAGGCCAAACTCAGTGGTTTTGCTTGGTTTCCATGAAACTAGCAAGAATGGCTATTTCAGCTGATTTTCACTTTGGGTTTTTTAGGTTAATTCAAAATTGAAACTATAAAAAAATAGGGGTATGTAAATCTTACAAGCCAAAACTGCAAAAGGTTCATATAAAGGTCTGGGAACTGAAACCACTGTGATTTTCATGTCTCCAATGGTAAGGAAAGGCTTGATGATGAATAAGTATTGCAGGATTTTTAAGAAGCTAGCTGTCTGTTGTAAGGAAACTTCATAATGAATAGGTGAATTGTATGAATGTTTGTTTATCATCAGAAAGGAGTGTAGGTTGGTGCTGCTCACCTTTTGACACCCTTGAAAACCAACACTTCATAGTTCTGAAATCCATACGGGTTAGACCTCTTAGCTGTGAAACCCCAAGACATAAAAAAATAAAAATCCAGAAGGAAGCCATGCGGTCCTGGTGGTTGGAATAAACGTACTGGGTACCAAAAGGAGGTGAGCCTCTGACTCAGTATGTGATTGTAAGGAAGCCACTCCACCACCTTGTGCTTCAGTCAGCTTAGTTCAAATTAACTTAAAAAGAGGAATCACTGAAAAATACCCACTCTGACTAAGCTAACTGTTGAATCACTGTACATGCAATACCTCTGAGAACTTTCCTGGCATACCACTTACCTTCTCAAAGGAATAATCATAGCCAGATATCTTAGGTTCATGCTACCAAAAAAGGAATGCTTTCAAATAGATTAAACTCTACCATTTTTTTTAATACCAATTTTGTGACTCTGAAGCATTCCCATTTCCCAGAGAGACTTAGGAATCATTAGCATCACCATTAATTCAGTATTCAACCCTAGCTGGATGATGTGGGCACATCCAGACAGGCACACACATGTGTTTCCCTGGGGACAAACAGCAGGGGCACATAGTTATGCTGCTGCTACTTGTCCCTAGGGAACACTCATGCATGCGTGCTCTGGGCTTTAGCAAATTGCCCCAGGTGGAGTAGGGAAGGCTGGGATCAGCACCTGGGCTAACCCCAGCAGACTTACTTGGAGTCCAGGGGGCTTCCCAGGGGTCCAGCAGTGGTGATCCAGAAGCAGGGACCTGCCCAGCAGCTGGAGTGTGGTTCCAGCCAGCCAGGCTCCAGTTTCGGGTGGTGCACGCTGCCACCATGTGCACCACCCCACTTTTTCTAGCGCAGGTTTTTTTGACACTGGGATCTCCCAGTGTCAAAAAAAAACCCTGCACTGCATAAGTGCAGCAGAGAACGTCTGCATGTGAGGTGTGTGCAATGTGCAGTGCTACAGACGGGTCTGCAGCACTGCATGCTGAACATGTGAGCTTGTCTGGAGGTGCCCCTATGCTTCTTGTAAGGAGAAGGAGCAAAGTATATTGAAACAGGATGAACTGTGGCTATCCCACTATAATAATGAAAGGCCTTGCAAGATGGTTTTACATTGATTAAAATAATCAGTAACTCACACTTGCAATCAGAAACTCTTTTCCTCAAATGTCATTGTTTTAGGCAAGCAACTAAAGTAATTTAGCAACACCAGAAAGGACAAAAAACCATTCAGAAGACAGGATTCTTCCTTCTCCTTTGATCTGGGTGATGGCCTTTTGACCTCCTCAAAAGTATTGTCTCCCCAGCATCTACAAACCTGTACCAAGAAAGAGAAAGATAGGACTATGCAGTCATATGTGGAAAACCTGAGTCCATTTCACTACTTTGAACCCTTGACTGAATATATATCAGTTGCAAATATTGCAGCCCATGTTGAAAAATTTAACTTGTTAAGGTCATTAATGCAAAACATTAACTACTAACTGATGAGGAGAGGGCTGCCTTTAGCCCTAAAAGCTGAATGTAATTGTGTGGGGCAGAAAGTGCTTGCAAAGATTATTTGATAAGGGAGATGAATGGGAAAAAAATCACATCTCTTTTATATTAGGGCACCAACTACAAATATAGGCTCCAATCCAGAAATTTGTTCTTCCCACATGGTGCCCTATTGGTGCAAGGGCTGGGTCAACATTAGTACAGTCCCCAAAGCAAATTATAACTGCTCTCATTTATATCAGCTACCTACACTTGATGGAAGAGTCATATCCCCTTTCCCCTCTCAGTATGCCAAAAACTGGTGGTTGAATTACTGAGGGCCAGATTAAGGCATTCTGAAGCCCAGGTGTGCAATGGTATCAAAGGTCTTATGGATCTGCTCCTACACTTTGGCTCTATCCCTTGTTCAGGGTGGCCCTTCCCCCCTTCCAGAGAAAGAGGGACAGAAGCATGGGACCCACTTCTCCCCCACCAGTAGGAACAGCAGCCAGGATCCTCTTTTTCTCCAGGACTGTAGAGGTAGTCTGCCTCATGTTTATTTCAACAACCAGGGTGTATCTACTTGGTGAGTAAACATCATACTCCATGCTGTATACTACGAACAAAATTGGAGACTCTTTGCTAGCGTGGTGTTGGTGAAGCCCTAGGAGAAGTAGCTCCTGAAGATGATCCCCCACAGAGTAGAAAATCAGAAGAAGCCATTATTATTACCCAGACTGAACTCCCTTATAGTCAAGACCAAAACCTGCACCTAGTAATTTTGGTATCAAACCTATAACTTGTATTTGAGGTATCTTATTTTGAGGTATCTCCAATCTTGCAGTAAAGACTTTAAATGATGCAGAATCCATCATTTCCCCATGTGGTGGATTAGGAAAGAATAATTGCATATACAAACCGCATGGACAAATACAGACTGGGGAATGATTGACTAGGCTGCAGTGCTGTAGAGAATGACCTGGGGTTATACTGGACTATAAGCTGAATATAAACCAAGATTGTATTCTTCTTACGAAATAAACCAATCGCAGACTGAGTTGTATTATAGGAGTGTATCTTGCAAGTCAAGGGAAGTGATCCATCCATTCTATTCAGTACTGGTGAGGCTTCACCAGGAGCACTGTGTCCAGTTTTGGGTCCCACACTTCAAGAAAGATGTTGATAGATGGGAAAGTCTAGCACAAATCAACAACAATTAT